AGTACTCTATATTGAAAAAAAACTTGACATTTTTCGCTAGCAATACAGTCAACGGTTTGATAATGCTAGAGAAGTTTTTAATGAACCTCAAATAGAACCCAACATGTCCTCAGAAACCCCTTATGCTCTTCACCAAAGTTGGTGGAGGGAGCCTAGCAATTACATCCGCCTTGGCTCTGTTAACTTCAGTTCCATGTGCAGTTACTTTGTGGCCCAATACAATTCGCTCTTTCACTATAAAGTGACACTTCTCATAGTTAAGAACCAAGTGCGTGGCTTGGCAACGTTCTAGCACGAGCTCCAAATTCTTCAAGCAGTCCTCAACGTCATCACCAAAGAGGGTGAAATCATCCATGAATACTTCTAGATACTTCCCATTTAAATTAGAGAATATAGACACCATGCACCTCTGAAAAGTGGCTGGTGCATTACACAACCCAAACGGCATCCTCCTGTAAGCAAAAATACCTGACGGGTAGGTGAATGTGGTCTTCTCAACATCTTCTGGGGCAATGGGTATCTGATTGTAGCCTTAGTACCCATCCAAGAAGCAGTAGCATCCATGTCCAGCCACTTTCTCGAGCATTTGATCAATAAAGGAGAGTGGGAAGTGGTCCTTCCTTATTGCATCATTCAACCTTCTATAATCAATGCACATTCTTCACCTAGTGACTGTTCTTGTGGGGATCAATTCATTATCTTCCTTTTTCACCACTGTCTTGCCCCCTTCTTAGGTACAACTTATACTGTACTAATCCACTGGCTATCAGAGATAGGAAAAATCACTCTCGCATCTAGCAATTTGATGATCTCCTTATGCACTACCTCCTCCAAATTTTTGTTTAGCTTGCATTGGGGCTGCATCACTGGCTTTCTATTTTCTTCCAACAGAATTTTATGCATGCAAATGGTTGGACCAATTCCTTGAATATCATCTATACTCCAGCCAATGGCCTTCTTATACTTTTTAGCACCTCAATCAGCCTTCGCTCCTGTGTACCTGTCAAGTCAGCAAAAATAATCAAAGGAAAATTATTAGTTTCAAGAAAAGAATATTTTAAGTGAGTGGGGAGGACTTTCAATTCCACATTAGGCTTAGAAGCTCCTCTTTTAGTTCCTCCTCATCAACCACTTGATCTTCAGTTTCAAGAGCTCCAACCTCTTTCTTTATTTCAGGATCTTCATCCTCCACTGTGTTAGACTGAGTAATACATCTCTCTAGAGTATCCCGCACAAGCTTGTCAAACTTGTATTTTTCAGCCAATTCTCCAACAACACCTAGCTTGAAACACGAGTAGGCGGATGCCTCATCACTCGGTATTTCATAATCCTCTTCATCTGGAATATCACTTTTTCGTCACGCACTCTGAGCATAAGCTTTCCTTCATAGATATCAAGGATAGCTCTGCATGTACATATGAATGGTCTCCCTAGAATTAGAGGCACCTCCTTTTTCACATCTATATCCACCACAATAAAGTCTACGGGGAACACAAACTTGTCCACTCGCACTAGAATATCCTCAATGATTCTCTCAGATAGAATGGTGGTTTCGTCAGCCAGTTGTAGGGACACTGATATTGATTTGATCACTCTGAGCTCACCTTCCAGTTTCCTGAATACAGGCAGATGCATTAGATTTATTGACGCACAAGAATCACAGAGGGCCTTGTCGAATTTTTCACTCCCCAACGAGCATGGTATGGTGAAGCTACCTGAGTCCCCACACTTTTCGGGAATTTTATTTTGTAATATGGCACTACAGTGGGCATTTAGCATGACCACTGTTGTTTCCTCTAATTGTCTCTTGCTAGACAGGATTTACTTCAAGAACTTTGCATAGGTCGCCATCTAAGTGAGTACCTCTGTAAAGGGAATGTTCACATAAAGTTGCTTGAGCATCTCCAAGAATCACACAAAATATTTGTTAAGTTTCTTCCGCTTTATCTTTTGAGGGAATGGTAGAGCTGGCATATGTCTACTTTCTTCAATCTCCTTTTGTACCTCACTACTCTGGCCTTTCTACTCTTCACCTTTTTTCTTTGTTGGTGTCTCTGCATGCTTGTTCACCACCTCGGGTCTAGCTTCACCACTGGATCAGCCAATGTTTTGCCACTTCTCAGAGATACATCTTTGATTGTTTCTTTTGGGTTCTTTTCAGTGTCAGAGGGAAAAGTCCCAAGAGCCCTCTCAGATAACAAATTTGCAATTTGTCCTAATTGCCTTTCTATATTCCGAATGGTCGTGCCCTGCTCTCTGATGGCTGTGCCTTGAGTCTCAAATTTTTCATCTGATTTGTTGATGAATTCCTTCATGAGGTCTTCCATACTAGACTAATTTGATTATTGTGGCTGGTATTGCTATCTCTACTGGTTCTGAAAACCTAGTGGCCTTGACTCTGGGGTATGAGATTATCTTGCTGCCATGAATTCAAAATCCCACTATATGAACTCCACAAAAAACTTGGATGTCTTTGACCCATAGAATTATAGTTGTTCCCACCTTGGTAGTTTCCTCTATTAAAATTCTCCACTGTGTTGACTTCCTCAACCGATGCTTGACACTGATGTGTAAGGTGTCCCAATCCACAAAAGTCATATGTTGTTTGCGGCTCATTCTGTACCTTGGCCAATATCAACTTTTTTATCTCCTTGGCCATGGTGTCTAGCTGGGTTTGCATGGATGTATTAGAGTCCACCTGGTGAATCCTAACTGATTTTCTTCTGTCATTAATCTCAGCCGACCACTGATTAGTATTCTCAGATAATTCATCAAGGATTAAGACAACCTCCTCCGACGTTTTCTTCATTAGTGGACCTCCACATGCAGAAGATAATTTGGCTCCATTCACCTGTGCTCTTCCATGGCCAAAGCGTACAGAGAGAAATCTGTTTGCTATAATATGGGGGAAAGTATTTGAGATGGGCTTTTAGGGATTTGAGGGGGGCAATTAGGTCTTTAACCATGTTTATGCAAGTATTAAAAATCCTTGCATTACTAATGTCATGATTTTCTATGCATTGCTTATACATAGGATAATACCAAGTATGATGTAAGTATTAGTTATATATAAGTATTAGTTATACAGAGGTTGAAAATATATATCAAACAAGACATTAGTAATACACAGAGTTAATGCTTGTATTATTTTTTCTAATAACCCTTAGCTTATAAGTACCACTTTCAACTAGGTAAGACTCGATGGTTTTAATGTTATTTTAGATGAAGAGAAACCTATCATGTTTTAATAATGGAAACCATTGTTTCCGTCCAAGAATACTTTTTTCGATCAGTCGTAATGGAACGTAATTATGGGACGTTCATTGGTTGTTGGAAGAGTATTAATATTGTAACAGTAAAAATTGTTTGTCTCTAGTGTGTGTAAAAGGGACTATTCGGAAAAGGTGTGTTGATTAGTCAATTAATCCAAAAGGAACATGTATATGGGTGAAATCGAACCCGTGGGACGCTTTGGTTTATGATGAAGTGAACAGAGCAAGAAACGTAAAGGCAAGAAACTGGAATCGAGGCAAGGAGCCCCTTGGTCCGGGGTCCGAGCAAAACACCTGTCCTCGGGAGTATCGGAGCCATGACCCCCAGGCCCGGTTCGAACCCCAAAAGCCTCGGAGAGCATTACCAGACAATCGAGCACGACCAACAAAAGACTGCGATGTCCGTGACCGGTCGGATATCACGGCGTAGATCTCGGCACATATCGACAGAGAACCGGTGATTAGTTAAACGAAAGATTTTTACTTTTTATGGAATTGTACTTAGGGTAAAACTGCCCTACTATATAAAGGAGGTCTGATTATTCATTAGGGACATTGTAACACGCACGTCAAGGTAATATTCTCTTATTTTCTCTGTTATTCAAAACTCTCACTTTTGTTCACAAATCATCAGTAATGTGAGCCCGGGTTCGAAGGCAGGCATTCCATTAAGCTATTACTAATTCTGGGATCACCCCTCTTAATCGGTTTGATAATTTATCACGTCCTTTCTCTGTTTGATCTAAAGTAATTTATCGTTTGTATTGAATTAATCCATGTATTCTTAAAATTACTTACAAATTTAATTGTTATCCTTTTTTATTTATTTATGGTAAACACACCTGATCATTCATTTACGACCAATTATTCGGAAGGCATGACAGTACTATATATACCTGCGATCTTCTATGACTATAATAGAGAGGACGATACTCAGTCAGTCAGTCTCACAAGTCACCATTCAAATCCCATATACAGTAGAGTGCCAGGATTCTTCACTAAAAGTTAAGCTGACAATCTATTTGTATTTGGACATGTGCTTGATTGTTTGGTCATTTGTTAGGAAAAAAAGAGAGACATTAGTGTTATAGCGCGGTTGCATCTCCACCACTTTCAAGTTTGAGTTCACTTGGAAAACTGGGAACTTTTTAGTAGGAAACGTTTAATTCCTTAGTGTAAAATTCGAATGTAAAGAGCCTACGATTCAAACCCATAAAATCATTTAAAAAAACATTCTTACACCCATGGCTCGGATATCGAAAGCCTAAAGGAAAAAAACATTCTTCCACCCCTCACCCCTATACACAGCACACACTTGTATCTTGTATTTAACCTTTTACGTTACACGTATGATTTAGGGATATAGTATTGTTTTTACCCATATGTGTATGCTACTAAATTCGTTAGGTAGCTTTGGTATTCTATTAATGTACACTGACTAATAAAACAAAGCCTGTTGTCATATGGTTACTCTTCCTAGTTACAATATATGTATAGTTTCAAAGATGTCAAAATGTATATTTAATATAGCTACAGCCATCAGTTAGTTAAGCAGCATTATTTTATTTGAGCACATGAAACACTTGGGATATCCTTGAACTTCAAGGTAAAGACTTATGCCAAAGTTTTATAAAGAGCTTTTCTAATGTGGATTTGAGATGGAAACTTCTAATCAGCTACTACTTGAAAAGATATTAGAAATAGGCCTATCCATTTGACTTATGTAACTCTTAATAAGACAAAATTCACTTTAATATAAGCCAATAATACAACAAGAGACCTTGTCCATTTCTCTAGAAAGAAAGCAAAGAAAACTTCCTCAGAAGTTCCAAGAAAATGCTCAAAAAACAACATTAGAAACAGAGAGAGAAAAAGAAGACGAAGAAATGGGGAGAGCTCCTTGTTGTGATAAGGCTAATGTGAAGAGAGGACCATGGTCACCAGAAGAAGATTCTAAGCTTAAGGAATTCATAGACAAATATGGCACTGGTGGAAATTGGATTGCTCTTCCTCAAAAAGCTGGTAAGAAATTCTTGAGCAAATTGAATTCTGTCTTTTAATTCTCTTTCCCTTTTTTATGACTCTCTCTATATATATATGGAAATTAATTTTTATTTTTTTCGCTTTGATAACTTTAATTGATGAAATGATTTTGGATCAGGATTAAAGAGATGTGGAAAGAGCTGTAGATTGAGATGGCTGAATTATCTAAGGCCTAATATCAAACATGGTGACTTTTCTGATGAGGAAGATAGAGTTATATGCAGCTTGTATGCCAGCATTGGAAGCAGGTAGAAAAGTTTTTAATTATGTCAAATTTATCTGCTACTTTTAGTGCTCTTAAATTTCTTAAATTAAATTATCACGTGTTTTCATGACTTTGAGAACTGAAATAGATCCCATAAAAAAATATATAAAAAAAAACTGTAGAAGAAGAACCTCAATAGTGAATATGGCTAAAAAAGAAAAGCATTAATCTGTTGGGTTCTCACTGAAGATTCTGCCATTTTATGGACATTTCTTCTGCATGCATGCCAGGTTTTGATCTTGGATCAAGTCTTTACTTACATACATAAAGCTGTTAGGAAACAGTTCAAATTGATAAACTATATTCCTTTTTTCTTCTTGAAGAGAAAATCTCTATTAAATTCAGTAATCTGGACGGAACTTATTTTATATTGTAAGAATTTGACTTTAAATTTTCCTATACCAACAATTTGTAGATTTTTATACTAACAAGAAACTCTTCATAACAAACTTGATGTATTGATCCAATAAATAGAGTAATAATCAGTTGTAACAGGTTAAGAATAAAAATTATTTATATTGTTAGTATATATAACTTAAATCTTATACATTTATCTGTTAGGTGGTCAATTATAGCAGCTCAATTACCGGGAAGGACTGACAATGATATTAAAAACTATTGGAACACAAAACTCAAGAAGAAGCTCATGTGTTTAAAATCACCTTTCTTTCCACCAACCCAACCTCAAACATTTTCAAATCTGTTTAGAGATTCATATTACACCACAACTGGGCTAGAGCACATGATTTCATCAGCCCAACCAAATCTTATGTGCACTAGCAATAACATGAACTTTCAGTTGGGGACAAATCAATATTCCTATTTTCAGTGTCAAGATCAGAGCTTAATGAATCCCATGCAACCAAGTTGTTCCTCATCTGATGGAAGTTGCAACCCAATGAGCTATGGAAAAGACATTAAACAAGAGGAAATGGGCAGTTGTTTACAGGGTCAAATTCCAACAACTTTTGAAGAAACCCAAAAATTTACTCTTGATTATGGTAACAATATTGGAGGTGGTAATGATCACCAGCTTGGCACTTGGGCTGATCAAAGGCCAAATGGAATTTTTAAGAACAACTTTCGAAGTAGTCAATTCCAGTCTGATATTGAAGAAGTTAAGGAGCTGATTAGTAGCTCTAGCAATGGAAGTGGATGTAATAACAGTTTTTTCTTCTACAATGATGAAAACAACACAAATGAGAGAGGGATGTACTATTACTAGATAAAAATTAAAATAACTGGCCGGGTTTAATTTGTGTAGTTGTGAACTTGTGATGGAATTGAATTAATGAAAAGCTTCTATTTTATCGCCATAGAGGCTTTTCTTTTTGTGCATTTATTTTTTGTTGTTATGATGAAACATTATTATCATTATGTGTTATGTCTATGCTTTTATCGTAAATTTTGTATTAAAAATGATCGTACGTTGGTTGCTATTGTTAATAGGTTGACCCAAATTAAAAGTATTCTACTAAGGTTTTAAAATTAAATTAATGTGTCTATATGATGCCTCCTAAAGTATGAGATTTTATGTGTAGATACCTGGATATAATTTCTAATTTAGTAAAAATTAAAAATACATAAATTTGTGCACCTATTAATAGGGTTATGGTCCCCAAATCAGACGAAAAGTTTTCTTTCTAGCATCCCATTATATTGTTACGAAGGTGATTACGGCTTACTTAGAAGACAACTAACCGCTAGACCAAAGAATTCCATGAATGCTTCCCTACCTAGTATTTTTTGTTGATGATTTAATATGATAGCTTTTGGGTAAGAGATAATGATGTTCATCTTTAAAGTATTTTGGTTCTAACATTTATCCCCAATCTCTACTTCCCCTAACCTTATACTCCGGCCTATCTATTTAGAACTGAGAAAAAGAGATGTTATTCTAGTTCATGGAAAGTCAAGAAGCCTATCATATTATGATGCAAGAAATCAGAAAACAAAAACACAAAGTGATGATTTAGCATCCACTGTCCTTCACTGAAACAAATATAGTTTGCACTATATATACACAATAAGAAGTAAGTTCTTCTAGTCAAATCTGCCCCACTTTTCTTTCCAAAGATATACTCCGTCGTTTCAATTTATGTGAACTTATTTGACTGGGCACGAAGTTTAAGAAAAGAAAGAAACTTTTGAACTTGTGACGTAAAATGAGGCACATATATTTTGTGTGGCTATAAATCATTGCATAAAGGTAAATTGTTTCCAAATAGGGAAAGAGATCTTTTTTTGGGCACGGATTAAAAAAAAAATTAGTTCACATAAATTGAAACGTACGGAGTATATTCTTAACCGTGAGAAAGGTACTACCGGCTACCGCTGGCTTTTCCTTAGAAAGAGCACTGTTTGCAAGATTGGATCTTAATATGAGAGTTAGTAATTAAGAAGTTGATATGATCAGAGCGTTTCAGAATTTGAATTTTATGGGTTCAGAATCGAAATTCAACCATATTTCATCTAATTTAATGACTTCAAAATCTATTTTTTTTTTTTTGTATATATTTAATAAATTTTCTGGCGGTATCTATTGCTCTTAGCTTTATTAGAATCCAAAGGACCAAATGTAAAAGAAAGTTCTTGTTCTTTTAGAAAGAGTCTTGCCAGCAAAAAGAAAGATAATAATACAGCAAAGTTTAGGTGTTGCATTTTAGCTCAAGCTATTAAAATGACAGGAAAATAATTCAGAATCTCAGTCTTATTCAAAACGTAAACCTTCACAAGTTATACAATACTTCGTTAGCCTTATAATAAGTGGTGGGGACAGGCATCAACTTCTGTACAACATAGGTAATAGAAAATTATACATTGTATTAACGAGTGTAGCGAGATAGTAGTTAAGATTCTTCCGCTCTTATCCGAGATTTTCAAGTCATGGAAATGGAGAACGGTAAGAAGAGTTTTATCCTTTATTTGACATGAATATGGGCTAGTTATCTAGTGAATTTTGAATACTTTTAAAGAAAAAGAATATTAAATTAAGCAAAAGAAAAAGAAAAAAACGTTAATCCCGCGATGAAAATAGTAAAAACTCAGACGGCTATCACGGCAATTGAAGAGTTTGTCTTTCCTAAGTACTTTTAATAATGGATGATGGAGTGGCTTATGATTTGATTAATTGATCATTGACCATTGTTTTTGTTTTTTTTGGTGGATAAAATTAATATCGAGAGTGTCCCCATTGAAGTTGACGACCTTGCTTAGCAATCACCTTAGGTAAGCTATATTTGTCAAATCCACAAACCAATGTACTTCTTTACTTTATTAGCTTGTGTTAAATAAATATTGTAAACAACTGATAGTTGGATTTAACTAATTCTGACCAACAATGTGAAAATGTTTGACAGCCATAAGTGTCAAGAATTTTCTACGGTTATTTTGAATAATTGAGTTGCAACCTAATTCGACATCTCTTTCAAAAAGATTTCAAAAAGAAAGGCACGTGAATAACGTCAACGCTACAACAACTTTGGTATCCTGAGCCTATAAATTTTAAACACGAATCCATTTATATGTATCCATAAAGTATAGTGTTATAATAACTCTTAGTTGGCGTATTATTACTACTTATAACACTACTTACTAGGAGGGATGGTTTTTCTCCTGGAAGAGACCCAATTGCATTATGTTTCCTTTCCTGATAGGATATTTTTGAGGAAATTTTACCTCCTACAACAAACTATTACACCTATTTATTATAAACCAAAACAATTCCAAAATATTATTATTTATAGCTATATTGTTTTTATTTTATAGCAAAATAGATATTTATTTATACCTACCATTAAGGCATGAAAGTACGCCAATTATGTTCTTTCTCTCTCTTTCTTCTCTCTCTTCGAACATATCTAGATGGATGGATTTAGGGAGGAAGAATGATTGGGATTGAAAGGGAGAAAAGTTAGAAGGGGTTGTGTGTAGAGAAAGGGAAGAGAAGGTGGAGAGGAAGCGATGATGTTGCCATTGTCTCTTGTTTTGTGTTAGTGGCAAAGTACATTTAGGGTCCATCCCCATAATAAAGAAGAAAAAAAATAGGAAGGGAAATTTGCAAGATGTCAAAATTGATGGTAGGCACCGAAACACACCGAAACACATTTTTGACCAAAATTGATTTTGATTCTCAATTTTCAATTTGCAAATCGCAAGTTGCAGGAAACTAACTTCTGATTGGTTAAGAGTTACGACACTTCTTCCTATAAATAGAAGCCTTCGGCTTCTCATTTTGACACACCAATCACAGAGAAAAAATATATCTAAGAGTTAGAAAGAAAGAGTGAGGTTTACAGACAGGGTGTAAGAAAATAGTTTGTGAGAAAAATAAAGAGTGAGCGATATTGTAGTGAGGTGAGAATATCAAAATAGGGTTATTTCTTTTGAGTGTTGTAGTGGTCTTTGGAGTATTTTACTCGAACCTATAAAGTGTAAAATTCCTTGCTATAGTAATATCAGTTGCTCCTCTCGGGGCTGTGGTTTTTTCCCTTATTCAAAAAGATTTCCCACGTAAAAATCTTGGTGTCGGTGTCACTCTTTTATTCTTATTAATTACCGTATCTCGGTGCTACGTTATTATTCTGCTTTTATTACCGTGAATATTATTTCTGTGGGGGTTTATTCCCAACAGTACAGTGGAAGAAATGTAATCGCAAAGTTGAAGAGAGATTTGTCCAAGTCATTTGATATGAAGGACTTGGGCCCAGTACAATAAATTCTGGATATGAAAATAGTTCGAGAGCGAACAAGCTGAAAGTTGTGGCTTTCTCAAGAGAAGTACATTGAACGTGTACTGAAATGCCTCAACATGAAGAATGCTAAGCCAGTCAGCACACCTCTTGCTAGTCATCTAAAGTTAAGCAAGAAGATGTGTCCTACAACAATGAAGGAAAAAGAAAGCATGACCAAAGTTCCTTATTCCTCTGCAGTCAGAAGTTTGATATATTCAATGGTATGAACTAGACCTGATATTGCTCACGCAATTGGTGTTGTCAGCAGGTTTCTTGAAAATCATGGAAATGAACACTAGGAAGAAGTCAAGTGGTTACTCAGGTACCTGAGAGGTACCACGGGAGATTATTTGTGCTTTGGAGGATTTGATCCAATCTTGAAGGGCTATACAAATGCTGATATAGCAGGTGACATTGATAACAGAAAATCCACTACTAGATATTTGTTTACATTTTCAGGGGGAGCTATATCATGGCAGTCGAGGTTGTAGAAGTGTGTCGCACTCTCGACAACTAAAGCAAAGTATATTGCCGCTACTGAAGCTGGCAAGGAGATGATATGGTTGAAACGGTTCCTTCAAGAGTTTGGATTGCATCAGAAGGAGTATGTCGTCTATTGTGACAACCAAAGTGCAATAGATCTTAGCAAGAACTCCATGTACCATGCAAAGACCAAACACATCGACGCGAGATATCACTGGATTCGAGAAATGGTAGAGAATGAATCTCTAAAAGTCTTGAAGATTCCTACAAATGAGAATCCCGCGTACACAACGCTCACCCATACCAAGAGACAAGTTCGAATTGTGCAAAGAACTTGTCAGCATACACTCAAGCTAGAAGTCTGGTGTTACCTCCTTCAGGTGAATGGGTCTGGAGGGGGAGATTATGGCGTTCATCCTCACAATGAAGAAAAAAAAAACAGGAAGGGAAATTTGCTGTCAGGACCCCATTTTCCCCTCCATATGATGTCGTGATGGCACCTAATCTCTAAGACTAGGTAAGATATAAATTTGCGGAATCAATGAATAATGAACTGAACTCCAATCTCAACTCATGATATATAAATATAAAACTGCCATTCAATAATTACAACTCCCAAAACCAGGTAGAAATAAGTCACAAGATTCTTATAGAAATACTAAGTGTCTATATACATCAAGTCTAAGGAGAATCAGGGAAATATCATGATAAGGATAGAGAGGGACTCTGAGGTCTGCGGACGATGGCAGATATACCTTGAAGTCTCCACGTGCAGTCCAACTCACTGGTATCTGGTCTGGTGGGAAGAACCTGGATCTTGAGTACGCCATAACGGTACCCAATAAGTACCAAGACTAACCCCGGTAGAGTAGTGACGAGGTCAAGGTCAGAGCCCTACTGGTTTTAAAGGAAAGTAAGGCAGAAAATATAGTAATATTTTAAAATGACTGAGAATTTAAACAATAAGAAGTTTCATAAAATATCAACACAATAAATAGAGGTACACAGCAGGGGCACTCCCGAGGTACCGCCTCGTAGTTCCAAATGTAAAGATGCAGTACAGGGGGATCTCCCGAGGAACCGCCTCGTAGTCCCAAAGTCAATATGCAGTACAGGGGGATCTCCT